CCCTCAACCGTGCCATGTCTCCTCTCCCCCTCAACTGCCAGCTACCTGCTCGGTCGCAAGATCGCCTTCGTGTATGGTCTGTTCAATGGCCTGCTCGGATTCGTTCCCCAGGCGGCCATTGCCCTGGTTTTGTGGTATGGCGGTGTCCTTGTCATCGAAGGCCGCATTACCACCGGCCTCCTGACCTCCTTCCTCATTTACACCCTGTCGGTGGCCATGGTATGTTGCTTGGGAAGGTGGTCCCACCATGGCCCTCCATCCCCTGGGGGGGGGCCGCGTTCCCCTTGAGACAGTGGCAGCTCCCCTGACATATGTACACACACACACACACCACGCGCGCGCGCGCACGCCTTCCCCGACCGTGCATTGCAACCGGACATGCAGGCCTTCGCCTTCCTGTCGAGCCTTTTCGGCGACTTCATGGCCGCCGTCGGAGCCAGTGAGCGCGTTTTCGGCCTGATCGACCGGGTTCCCACCATCCCGGTCAAGGGGTGCGCCACGCTCTTTTCCTCTCCCCCCTTTCTTGTTTCTTTCTCCACGATGACACCCAAAGCCACCCACTCCCTCGCCACTGAACACCCTCCCAATGTGCTCAAACGAACCTGCTGCTGGACTTCCGGCCCCCTTGTGCATCTGCCTCGACAGCGGCCTGCGCCTGCCCAGCCTCACCGGACACATCACCTTCGACCGCGTCTCCTTCACGTACCCCTCGCGCCCGGACAGCCAGATCTTGGATGACATCCAGCTGGACCTGGCCCCGGGGCGTGTTTTGGCCCTTGTTGGCCCGTCTGGTGCGTGTCCCACGATATCTCCTTTGCGCGCGTGTGTGTGTGTGTGTGTATGCATGCTTTCCCTCCTTCGGGCCCCTGCCGTGTGTCCTCGTTTTGGTGTGCGAGAGAATAACATCTCACTCTGTACGGGGGGGATGGAAAAAAAAAAAGGCGGCGGCAAGTCCACCATCGTGTCACTGCTCGAGCGCTTCTACGATGTGACCTCCGGCAAGATCCTGGTCGATGGCCACGACCTGCGCACCCTCGATCCCAAGTGGTACCGGTCGCAGGTGGCCCTGGTGTCGCAGGAGCCGGTGCTCTTCGCCACGACCATCCGCGAAAACATTGCCTTCGGCATTCAGGAGGAATTTTCGTACCAGCACCGGTCGGCGGCCGGCAGCCCCGTGCCCGGGTCCTTCCATGTCCCCGAGGAGGATATCATCAACGCCGCGCGCCAGGCCAACGCACACGACTTCATCTCGGCCTTCCCCCAGGGCTATGACACGCTGGTGGGCGAACGCGGCGTCCGCCTCTCCGGCGGGCAGAAGCAGCGCATCGCCATCGCCCGGGCCCTGCTGATGAACCCGCGCATCCTCCTCCTGGACGAGGCCACCTCGGCTCTGGACGCCGAGAGCGAATTCCAAGTCCAGGAGGCCATCGACCGGGCCATGGAGTCGCGCACCGTGCTCGTCATCGCCCATCGGCTGTCCACGGTCAAGAATGCCGACGCCATCCTCGTCCTGCAGGGCGGCAAGATCGTCGAGCGTGGCACTCACGACCAGCTGATTGCCCGCCGCAAGGGCGTCTACCGGGGCTTGGTCCTGCGCCAGTTGCAGGGTGGCCCGGACCCGGCCGCCCCCGGCCACCCCAAGGAGGATGCGCCCGAGGACCCGGAGGACCAGGAGGCCGCCCGCCTCGCCGGCATCAAGAACCTCGATGCCCAGTCCACCCACTCCTCGCTCTCCCCCTGCCCGTCAGATGCCGGGGACTCCCTCCTGGACGTGGTGGAGGAGCAGGCCGAGGAGGATGACCTGGCCATCCTGCCGGCCGCGGCCGCCGCGTCCTTCAGCATCAACGAGCACCCCAGCGAATTTGGCAGCATCAACACCGGCCTCGGCCCGGGGCTCGGGGGATTGCCCCGCCAGCGCCGTGGCAGCGCCCGCTCCCCTCCCATTGATGGCCACCCCGCCGCCGCCGCCGCCGGCGATCGGCCGGAGGACGATGACGACGACGACCATGGGGGGGAGGTTCTGAACGATCGGTCCCCCCTGCTGGTCCCGCGTGACCACTGAGAGTCGCCGTAACTGCCAACACCACCCAACCAATACACCATGGCACTTGAGTGAATGTCGGAAATGGAATTCGGTTAATCGAGAGGCCACCGAGGACTGTCGGTGCCTCACGGTCTTTGCACATCTGGTGTTCCTGAACGGGGGTGCTGTGGCCAATGCGGGTGCTCGAAACCCTCTCTCGCGCGAGCCTGCTGAGGCGCGGACGATGCTGGACACCCTTCTGGAGCGCGGGCAGGGGGGGGGGGTGGATGGGGGGCGGGGGGGGGAGAACACACCTCTCAAATAACGCGGCCGGGCGCATTGCGACGCCCTCGCGGGACTGAAAAGAGCCCGGCCGCCTTTCCCAAGCATGCGTCTCCCCCCACCCCCCGCCCTCCGGGGAACAGCCGCAGCTGGGCCGGGGGAGGAGGGGCGACGAGGCGGACCATCCGGCAAGATGCCCAGACGGACGGCCTGCGCCACACGCGCGCCGGCTGTGCCCTCCGCCGTGTGCCGCGGTCCCAACACCGCGTGTCGGTCGGGGAGCGAGCGTGGCAGCAGTGACCGGGCGGCGAGGGTGAGCGGACCTGGCCGGTGTGCACCCCCCCCATCTGACCCTCGCCTGGCGCCCGTCCGCGGGCCGGCACCGATTCATGCCTGCGACCCCGCGCCCCCTGCCCCCGGGGGGACTGGGGCAATTGGGCTCCCCTTGGACAGCCCGCCTCGTGTCGCTCCGAGCCGGGCCGGCATTCCGGGCCACCGTGACCGGGGCCGGGTTCACGCCCGGGCCAGGCGCTCCCGGCCGAACGGGCATCCCCCCTCCCCCCGCCGCTTCCGCAGAAAGTGGTCAATGACAACGCACCCGTAGGGCCGGGGGAAAGAGCGGCGGGGGGGGGGGGGGGGGGGGGGGGGGGGGGGGGGCCGGCAGGGCGAGAAGAAAAAAAACCATGCCGCCCGGGCCCCGGCCAAAAACACATCACCCTGCAGCGAGAGTTGCCCCCACCGGCGCCGCGGTCCCTCCGGGGCTCGGGCTGTTATACGTGCCCGCGCGCGGGGCCTGGAGGACGAACATCACCCCGGGCCTCGCCGAGGCGCCGAGGGCCATTGCGACCGTGCCCCGGCCGCACGCCGGAGAAATGTGTGTCCACGCAAGACATGATCCCACATCTCAACAGGGCCCCATTCAACGCGCGGGCGAGCATGGGGGCCCTGACTGGACCGCCCCTTGTGCCCCCCCCTTGTGCCCCCCCCCCCCAGCCGCAGGGCGCGCCACTCCGCCCTCCCCCCCCCCCCCGGTTCCTGATCCGCTCTTGGGCAATGACAGAGTGTTTCCCGGCCGGGCGCACACAGAGCCCCCCCCCCCCTCGGCCCGTCGGTGCCTCGCGGCTGCGTCGCGTCCATGGCACGGCATCCCCCCTGCAGGCCTGATGACTATGCACCAGGCCCGGGGGTGTCGCCCGCTGACCGGCGGCCCCCAGCGGGCCAGGCTGCCGCAGATGGCCAGCCACTGACCGGCGCAGGGGGCGGGGGGGGGGGGGACCGAGGCATTTGCCGGACCAGATCGACCGACCCGGCCGGGCCGGCAGTCACCTCACCTTCTCGCCCCTCTCCCCACCCCCCCTCTGCCCAGGCTCCCCCTCCCCTGCCCCCTGGACAGCATGAACTTCCGCCGCGCTCTCATCACGGGCATTGCCCTTTTCGCCCTCCTGGCGGCCGTCGTCTCGGCTGCCTCCCCCCGCAAGTGGGCCCTCGTCCCCGGCGCCACCCCCGAGCAGATCAAGGATCTGATCCGCACCCGCGACGTCCGCGGCTACTACCACGAGGACGCCCTGCTCATCATCGACGAGAATGTCAACGAGTTCGCCGACCTGGCTTCCCAGTTCCCGGAGGCCCGGATTCTGGCCGATGTCGAGCCCTCTCGCAAGGTCTACATCCTGGAGAAGGACGTGCGTGTCCCGGCCAGCGCGCCCTGCTCACGCCATCACCCATGCCCCTTCCTGGCACTTACCCCGCTCGTCCCGCTCGCCCCCCCCCCCCCCTCCCCCTAGCTCCTGGAGTCCGACTGCCCCGGAACCGTCCGCGCCTGGGGTAGCCGCATCCACAACGCCCTGAACCGCTACAACGCCGAGGTCCGTCCCCCCCCCCCTCCCCGCCACCGCCGCCGCCCTTCCTCCCTCCGGACATGCATCGTCCAAGCCCCGCCCAATCGACTGCCTGACCGCTGACACATACACACACACACACACACACACACTCGCCCCCCTCCGGCGACAGATCCTCCACTCCGACTCCAACCGCTTCATTGCCATGCTGCCCGCCATGCCGGAGGTCGGCCCCAGCCTCTTCCGCGATGCCCTCCTCCGCGACATCTCCCTGGGCACCGAGATCCTCACCGTCCCGGAGTACCCGCTGGAGTCGCTGCTGCAGCGCAACCAGGCGGCCCTCCGCGAGCTGGCTGCCACCTTCGGCACTGAGGGCCAGGAGGTCGATGCCGCCCGCTTCCGCCTCCTGGACCAGGTCAACGAGGACGACCTGCGCTACTACCTCGAGTACCTGACCGGCGAGGCCTCCGACTCGCCCTTCACCACCCGCAACGCCTACTCCACCCAGGCCCACGACGCGGCCAGGTGGATCGCCGACCAGTACACCAGCATGGGCTTCACCACCACCCTGGAGACCTTCCGCGATGACATGTCCCCGAATGTGGTGGCCGTCCTGCCGGGCCGCCGCTACCCCGACAAGTTCGTCGTCCTCGGCGCGCACTACGACTCGCGCGCCATCGACGTCAACAGCCCGACCACCGACGCCCCGGGTGCCAATGACGATGGCTCCGGCACCTCGGCCCTGCTGCACATCGCCGATCTGATCCGCATCAACAAGGTGTCCTTCGACTACACCGTCATCTTCACCACCTTCTCGGCCGAGGAGCAGGGCCTCGTCGGCTCGCGCGCCTATGCCAAGGCCGCCAAGGAGCGTGGCGATGACATTGTCTACATGTTCCAGTCCGACATGCTGGCCTTCAATCAGGAGGGCGAGAACTTCCAGACCGCCTTCCCCAGCCGCTACACCGATTCTGATCTTGTTGAGCTGGCTTCGCGCGTCGTCCAAAAGTACGTCCCCGAGGTGGACGTCTGCCTGACCGACGCCTGCTGCTCCGACCACCAGGCCTTCCACGAGCTGGGCTACCTGTCCACCCAGATCTTCGAGCGCTGTGGCCCGATCGCCGACAACCAGTACCACCGCCCCGGGGACCTGGTCAACCGCCCGGGCTTCTCCCTGGAGGGTCTCAAGTACAACACCCGCTCTTTGATGTCCCTGCTTCTGGTCTTCGCCCAGGGCATGATCGTCAACTAAGCGCTGCCCCCATTGGCCGCTTGGCTCTTTCCTCTCCCACACCCCTTCCCCCCCCCATCTCAACCGCGGGGAGGGAGGGAGGAGGACCGTGTGCAATCCGATGCATGCTCTCCGCGAGAGGGGGGCTGGGAACAAGCACAGCGAGAGATGGGCGAAAGCCATCTCTAAGACCAATTGTCCCCCTCCCCCCCCCCCCCCTCTCCGAGTGCGCGCATACGCGTCTACCTCTCCCCTCCCAAATAAACGGATGTGACTTCGTCCGCGTGTCTGTGGGTGTGTGTGGGTGTTCATGGGGGAGTGGGGGGGCGAATAGAACCGACACATGCCTGGGGGGGGGGGGGGGGCACTTGTGTCGCGGCACTCTGTATGCCCTGCGTCCGTGCACCCCCCTTGTGCCTGGTGTTGCTTTGCGTCTTTATATTGTCTTGGAGGATGATGTGGCGCCAGTGGCGCTGCATCGACATCGCCGCAGCCGCTGCCCACACATGGGAGGATCCGGAAATGGGCCATATGCCCGGCCGCATCGCGACCCGCATCCAGGATGCGTTTACTCCCCCGGGGGAGAAGGAGTACGGCTGGGGCACGGGCGGGGGAGCGGTGCGCGCTTGCGCCCAGGTCGGCCGGGAAATCCGCCCTCAGTCCTTGAAGAGGTCGGCCTCCCAATCGTCATCGTCATCGTCACCGCGACGGGAGAACTGCAGGCACCCGCCACACGGGGATCATCAGTAAAGGGGAGACATAAAGCAGCCATGTATGCCCTGGCTGCGATGGAGCCAAAGCGGGGGGGGGGGGGGGGGGGGGGGCGGGAGGAGGAAGGAGAGTACAGGCCACGCACCTTGATCTTGGTCTCACGAGTGGAGCCAGTCTGCTCGCTGATCTGCTCCAGCATGCCAACCAGCTGCTGCTCAGACACCCGACCACCAAGACGCCCGGACTGGGCCATCTTGACCAGCAGGTCCTCCACACCACGCGCCTTGTCCGGGCGCACGACGGCAATGCGGTTGACTGGGTACAAAGCGAGGCGCGACGGTCGCCGGTTAGTGTATGGCCCGGAAAGGGAAAGAGACACATGCCCACATCTGGGCGAGTGCATGGCCCAGCTGCCCCTCAGCCCCTTGCCCCGCTCCTCCCACGGCGCCCGTCCCACATGCGTGGAGGCCGGCCCACGCAGGAGGGCCATGGATCGGGCACATGGGTGTGTGAAGAAGAGAGAGGGGAAGGGAGGGAGGGGGGGGAGGAGGAGGGGGCGGGAAAGAAGGGGCACGTACGGCGCTCCCGGGCATCCGGAGTCAGGATCTGGTGAATCATCTCCAGGCGGGCATCCTCCTGGGCCTTGAGACGGGCCTTGCTCTCGGCGTCGCCGCCGTCGCCGCCGGGGGGCTGGGCAGACAGGCCGGCAGGGAGGTTGGAGAGGTCGTCCATGGTGATTGGCAAACAGAAAGGGGAGTAAGGGGGGGGGGGACAGATAGAGTGGAAGAAGGAGAAGGGGATCTGCCTGGGGCTGCCGGGCCCCTTTGCCCTTGCGCCGGCCGAAAAGCAAGCACCGACGATGCAGATCGTCCCTCCCCTCGATGAAGGCCACTCTCTCTCTCTCTCTCTCTCTCTCTCTCTCTCTCTCTCTCTCTCTCCCTCGCTCTCGCTGTCTCCCTGGTGTCAACCTACTCGGGCCTCCTCCGGGGGCCGGGCGCCCCGCCGAGCATGCTCCGAGCCCCGCCCCTTGGGTCTTGCCCATCCCAACACAGAGGGCCTCACATTTGGCCTCCATTCGCGTGCCCCCCGCCCCCCGGGGGGAACATCCCCCGGAGGGGCCGTTGCCCCGACTGGCAGAGGCCGGATCACCGTATTTCATCGGATCATGCGCCGCATTTAGAATCCCGCGCCTGCCGTAGGTTCTTGTCATATGTTCAGGAGGACCCGTGGTGCTCGGACACGCAAATAGACCCGCCTTCGCGGCCTGGCGGGACAAAGCGGGCAAGGAAGGGCCCGGCTCCGGCCCCCCCCCCCCCCACACACACACACGCACCAACGGGCGCACTATCGCAGGACATCGAGGGGGGCGGGGGCGGGGGACAACGGGAACACTGGCTCCCTTCACACCAACCTGGGCGGGTCGCCCCTTTCGGCCGGAAAGCAAGGCATATGCCAGTCAGCAGGACGATGCACATTGGTGCGGGGGGGCCGGGGGGGGGGGGGGGGGGCAACCAGGTGGCGCCGGTCATGCCCCCAGAAAAAGCGGCGGTGGGGAAGAATGCCGCCCTCCGAAGCAGGGCCAGCGGGAACAGTGGGACACGTTCCTCTCCCCGGAGACCTGCCCACCCTTGTCTTTGACTGATCAGGCGCTTTTCAAAAAGGCGCCCGCGTCGAGTCCCCCCCCCCTCTGGCCGAGTGCGCCCGGGCCAGGGGGAGGGCCCGAAACAGGAGCCCCCGCCGCCGGAACGGCAGGACTGACGGAGCCCAAGGGCACCCAGAGAGAGAGAGAGGTCGGCACACCGCCGGACAGGCGGCGCCGGTGCCCCGAAGAATGCCCGCGGAACAAATGCCACAGCGGCAGCTCCCTGGGCCCAAAGGGAGGGGAGGGCCGCCGACATGCCCGAAGCCCCCCGAGAGATGCTCGGGTGCGCGCCTCTCCACCAGCCGAATGGAGAAGCGCGGGAAAAAGAGGCCTCTCCCGCACTTTGGCGCGCGAAGGCATGAGCCCCCCCCCCCCCCCCCACCGCCCCGCCCCCTCGCCGGCTCACCACGCCGCCTGCTCCAGGGGCCAAGCTCGCTGGTTCGCTCGCTCGCTCGCTCGCTCAGCCGAAGGGCGTTGACCCGAAAGCCAACGACCGGGCGGCGCAAGGCGGCAGCATGTGGCCACGGAGCGAGCTTGGTCCACCGCTCGGGCTCCGGGCACCGCCGGAGGGCCGACCACACCCGCGCTCGCGCGCTTTTCTGTCGGCCGGCACAGGGCGACATGGGCCCGATGTCTCACCCGCCCTCGGCCAGGTCGCCAGCCAAGGTGTGGAAGCCTCCAGGCGGCTCTCCTCCCCGCGGTTCGCAATCCCCCTCCACACCTGGAATATGGGCCACATGTGCGGCGCAAGGCCCGGTGCCGTGCGCGGGCAGGAACCTGCGGGCTCCTGATGATGCACAAACCACCCGGCCCCCCCCCCCCCCCCCCCCCCCCCCCCCCCGCCACCCCCAATGCCCCCCGCCCTGCAGACACCCACGCCCCCCGTCGCCCCCCGCCCCGTGCGCGCCCCGGCCACGGGTCCCCAGGTCGTGGCTGGGAGTCCCTCGCCCACCGGGCTCCGGCTCTGGCGTGCCACGTTGATGGCTGAAACCGCCGCACACTTGGGTCACAGGGCCCGTTGCTTGATCAGGAACAGCGTGGGCGGCTCGCCCAAGGTCTTCCCAAACGCGGGACGGTCCGAAGCCGGGCGTGTGACGACACGTGTGCCGGCGGGGGCGGGCCCAGAGCCGGGGGCAGGCCGCCCCCGTATATGCACGCCCGGCGGGCGAGGTATATGGCACGCGCCGACCGGCTCCCGCCGCCCAGGCCCGGCCAGCGGCAGGGTGGGCTCTCCAGCTTCGGACGCGCAGAACGGGGCAGCAGGGGGGGGGGGGGGTACGCTGCCCGGGCCCTCTCCCCGGTCGCCCCCCCCCCCCGCTCATCCGAAGGGGCAGCCCTCGTCACCGAAGAGGCCCTGCCCCCGGCAGAGACAAGCCATGGTCCCCCGAGGGGCGGGCAGGAACCCGCAAACGCATGTGCGGCTCACGAGAACCGGGGCGGGGGATATCGGGCGACGCCCACGGGGGGCGCGGGGGAGAGGC